GCAGTGGTTCTTAACCTTTGTTACTCGCATGCTTTTGAACTGCAACTCCCAGAAACCCCAGTCAGGACAGCTGGTGGTGAAGGCTTCTGGGAGTTGCAGTCCAAAACTCCTGAGTAACCCAAGGTTAAGAACCAGTGGTCTAAGGAATGGAGGCACAGTGGTTCCCCCACGCCAAAGAAGTTCCAAGTGCAAAGGTCGGTGCAGAAGTAAATGGCAACAGTTTTTTGGGATAAGAAGGGAGTTCTACTGGTGGACTACCTCCAATAGGCTTCAACCATCAACACAAAATATTACTGTATTTTATTGATGAAGTTGAGGCAAAACAGCAAGGAAAAACATTGAGGAAAGTTCTCTAAAGGTGTCATCTTGTTGCATGACAACGCTTCGTCACACATTGCAGGTGAAACAATGGCAAAACTGACGTCCTTAGGCTTTCAAGTGATGCCCCATCCACCCTATTCTCCCAACCTGGCTCCTTCTGACTATTATCTGTTCCCCAAACTCAAAGAACACTTAAAGGGACAACAATTTGGGCGTGTTCTGGAGGCAACTAGTGCTGCAAATGGGTGGTTACACCAGCAGTCAGAAGATTTTTATTTACAGGGATTAAGAAGCTGCAGGACAGATGACACAAGTGCATTGACTTCCTGGGGGAATATGTAGAATAGTGTGGCAGTTACAGCTTCCTAGCTCAGTTTTTTCCAGGAAAGCTCAATACTCATCAGCACCCCCTTGTATTGTGATTAGGTTACACCTATTGCCCATAAGCTGCCTTCTGGAAAACAGTTGGCATTCTTCTTGGCAGTATATTATGAGAAAATAACTGTGATAGTGGGAGTCTGTTGGCTTATTGGCAGAGTTTGAAAACTCTTACATTTTGAGGCTGCAACTCCCAGAATTCCAACAAGCAGATCCACGTGTTGTAGTTCAAAAGATTGTTTTCTAACTATTTTGGTTGATAAGCAGTGCTTCAGGGAGGGTGCCAAGTGTTACTTTTCTTCTTACTGAGAAATTCACTGCCACTTCATTGGCCACTCCCCCTGAAACAGTTGTTTGTTGTTGTATAACTATTGATTGATAGTAACAACAAAGAAATATATTAGTATATTTGATTGATCTTGTTAGGAAGATAAATTCGTTGGGGAGGGGGTTTTCTTGAAAAGCACAAACTGTTATAGTGTTAACACAATTGCTTCAACCACGTCCAGAATCTAATCAGCAGTACTTGCAGCTCCATTCTTGCCATCCCACCGAGTCTGTTTAAACCCATCCTTTTTTTCCCCATTTTTTCAAGGATTACTACAAGACTGGAGTGATACGTTGTCCTGATGGAATATCTATACCTGAACTAAGAGAAGCTTGTGACTATCTCTGTATTTCATTTGATTATAGTACGATCAAATGTAGGGATTTGAGTAAGTATAATGAGGAAAATGGGTTGACACAAATTTAAATGTGCCTTGTCCTGACTATAAAACATTGTGAGACCCAAATCTGCAGATTTCTGTGTGCAAAACGCTGAGGCTGGACAAGCTTAGTTCAGTTTTGATAATATGGTTTTATTCATGTTAAATTACCACTTGATCTCTGTTATATCAGCCATGCTTAATTAGTCTTGCAGGCTAGAACGTATGGAATGTCTTGTGAATGTGAGTGATTTTAACATATGCAGCAATACATTTGGAAGATTAATAATGATAATAATATGCATTCATTCATTCATTTGCACCCTATAGCGGAGCATTTGCCAGTAAAATCAGTAAAGATACATGTAAATACCTCCACAACTTTGAAACCAAGTCAGAAAATGCCTGAAGCCTTGAATTTGCACCTTGGTGCAAGGGACCAACAAAAGTCTGGAGTGGTGTATTGAGTCCTCTTGAGAGGAAAATGCTATGCCATCAGCTATGCTAAATAATTAGGGAAGGAAAATGGTAGGGCTTTAAAAGTCAAGATGAGGATTTGAAAATGTGTCCTTGACCTGATAGGCAGCCAATGCAATGCCCAATAATGATGGGAAATATGGGAGCAAGGCAGTAAGTTTAAAGCCACTGGTACCACACTATTCTGTACAAGAGTAAGAGGATGGAGTGAAAAAGAAGGAAGCACAACTAATATTGTAGCATCTTTAAGAATAACGAATTTATTTCATTGTGCAGTTCCAGAAACTGCACTTCCTGCACATGGCATACAATATTTATACACATATTGTACATGGTTGTGGAGGTTAAAACCAAGTGAAATGGAACAGACACAGCAATGAACTCCTGAAACGTTCATTATGTAAATATCTTGGCAATAGATAGACTTGGCAATAGATAGACAAAGTCCCAAACAGAGTAGTCCTAGAACGAGCTGGAATTTTCAGCATGAATACATTACTGAAACAGCGACGTCTACGTTGGCTTGGGCACGTCGTGAGAATGGCTGATGGTCGGATTCCAAAGGACCTCCTGTATGGAGAATTAGTGCAGGGAAATCGCCCCAGAGGGAGACCACAGCTGCGATACAAGGACGTCTGCAAGCGAGATCTGAAGGCCTTAGGAATAGACCTCAACAGATGGGAAACCCTGACATCTGAGTGTTCAGCCTGGAGGCAGGCACTGCATCGCGGGCTCTCCCAATCTGAAGCAACCCTTGCCCAGCAGGCCGAGGCAAAGAGGAAGTCACTAAAGCAGCAAAACCAGGGAGCTGGACAGGGGACAGATTGGATTTGTCTTCAGTGTGGAAGGGATTGCCACTCTCGAATTGGCCTCCTCAGCCACACTAGACGCTGTTCCAAGTCCTCCATACAGAGCACGCTACCATAGTCTTTCGAGACTGAAGGATGCCTAACAGATAGACTAATTCTAAGTGGTGTAAAGTGTTGATGCAATAACTTTGGCTTTCAGAAAAGAGTTGGTAGTGCTGAGGCCAGAGCTTTGCCAAAGAAATAATGTTTGGCTTTACACAGAACTTTAGAGAAATTCATTATATCAATACATAAATAAACCACAATATTATTAAGTTTGTAAGGCTAAGACCCAGAACTGCTTAGCTCTGTGCATCATTGTTCTGGGCATTTGTTGTTTGCTGCTGCCGCCACTGTCCTTTGCCTCCTCCAGTGCAATTGGTGGGGCTCACCTCCAGCTCACATTGCTGCCTTATCCCCTCCGGTGGTGGAGGTGGCAACAGCAGGAGGCGGAGGCAAAGGAGCACTCGGGCTCACTCGGGCATCTCTTGCTGCTGCCCATTGTCTGCTGCCACTGCCGCCCGTTGCCTCCTCCAGTGTGACTCCAGCTCATGTCACTGCCTTGTCCCCTCTAGTGGTGGAGACAGCAGCACCAGGAGGTGGAGGCAAAGGAACACTCACATGCACTCAGATGCCTCTTGCTACTGCCCATTGACTGCTGCTGCCGCATTGATCCCTCCAGTGCTCCCTTCGGACAGGGGACAAGATGGCGGCAGTGACGTGAGCTGGAGGTGAGCCCCGGCAGTCACAATAGAGGAGGTGATCGGGCGGTGGAGGCAGGAGACGGAAGTGGAGGAGCAGTTTCCCATTAACTACTACTCCGCCTCTGGCAAGGGTCAAAATTAGGGGGTCGTCTAATTTATTGGGGGGGGTCATATATACCCAAAAATGTGATACTTTGGTCACACACTTTGTTTTGCACCTGGGTATAAGACCAGGTTTAAGACAGGGAGCAAGGAAATTATGAGAACTGCTTGCTAATTCTGATTAGCATGTAGCATTTCATAGTAGTATTCTGGCTGCTTTGCAGAAAAAGCCCTTGTATTCCTATAATTAACTTGATGCACAGTGGAATTTATGGCTATAACCCACTTTTGCTCTCTTGTCTCCCTGTCTCTGTTCTCTTGTGGAAATTGCTTTTTTTTCTACAGTGGCCAGTTCAAGATCAGTGACAAACATGTCTTTGGGACAGTAATAGCAGACCTACAACCCAGTAGTACGATAGAGAGCGAGAGGGGGGAATCCCCACTTGAATGATTGCCCTCATGCACGCAGTTTTCTTAAACAGGGTTTTGGCCCATACATATAGTGGTGCCCCGCTTAGCGACGATAATCCGTTCCAAAAAAAATCGTCGCTATCTGGATTCGTCGCTATGCGGGGCAAAAAAGCCCATAGGAACACATTAAAACACGTTTAATGCGTTCCTGTGGGCTGTAAACACACCGCTATGCGGAAATCCTCCATGCGGCCGCCATTTTCACTGCCTGGTAAGCGAGGAAAGGGTGCGAAAACGCTGCGGGCAGCCATTTTCTTCACCCGACGGCCATTTTGGAACCGCCGATCAGCTGTTCTTAAAACATCGTTATGTGATAATCGGTAAGCAAAACGCTTACCGATCATCACAAAGCAATGTTTTGCCATTTAAAACATCGTTATGCAATCGACAAAACGATCGCAGAAAACCCGTCACTATGCAGATTTGTCATTAACCGAGGCACCCGTTAAGCGAGGCACCACTGTACTAATATTTTGATTTTCTTAGCAGTTTGGTGGATAGCCTAGATGTTTTCTTTGCCAAAACTCTGGCCTCAGCACAGCATCTATTTTCTGAAAGCAAAAGTCATCTCATTGATACTTCAAAGTCAGCAGTTTCACCATTTTGTGTGCTAGCCAACTATTTACATTACCTAATTTCATTTTCCTTTATCAGAATATTTAAAGACTCAACACTTCAAAAATTCATTCATAGTAATGCTTTCTGTCCCTTCAAAAATTCTGCACCTGTATGTGTCCAGTTTCGCTTGGCCCCGCATCCACAACCATCTGCACTGTTTATAAATCTGTAGGCTAAATATTGTAGTGCTTGTGTCTGAAAAAGTGAGTTACAATCCACAAAAGATCATACTGAAATCAGTCTGTTAGTCTTAAGAAGCATCAAGATATTGTATGCATTACTTTTGTTTTCCTTTGATTGTACATGATGAAACACAGTAACGTGGCTGCTTCTTTGAAAAGTGCTATGATCTGAAAGAAATGTACAGAATTTCCAGATGGTTCCTCGTACATTTCTTAGCATACATTTCTTCTACATATGTGCTTAGAATCATGGAACAGTAGGGAAAGGGGTCCAATGGGAAATTAAGTCTTCCTTCCAAGATAGCCAGTGTTTAAAGGATTCGTAATGGATAAGTGGAAGGCAGTGGAAGACAAGAGGGCCCGGCATGCTCTGGTCCATGGTGTCACGAAGAGTCGGACATGACTTAACGACTAAACAACAACAAATGGATAAGTGTTTGTCATGAAACCACCTCCTCATGCCTTTATGCCCAGTCAAGGACAGCAGTGGTCTTTCTTTTTGTCACAGTGTTTTCTCTGAACAGCGTTTCAGTGATAATGATTTTGGTAATTTGATTACAGGTGCTCTTATGCATGAATTATCAAATGATGGTGCTCGGAAGCAGTTTGAATTTTATCTTGAAGAAATGATACTCCCACTGATGGTAGCCAGTGCTCAAAGTGGAGAAAGAGAGTGCCATATTGTGGTGCTAACTGATGATGATGTGGTTGATTGGGATGAGGAGTACCCTCCACAGATGGGGGAAGAGTATTCCCAGAGTAAGTGAAATGTTTTTCTCTGATCATTTTAATCAGAATGAACTACTGCTGTGAAGCATCTGATAATGGTGTTCAAGGAAAAATGTAGACTGAGATTCAGTCCTACAACTGTTCCATTGCATTCTTGTTACTGAGGATGGGTGGCTGAATTTTGAGCCAAAGTTTGGAGTTCTTTTTCATTTTTATATTTCAGTCTTTGCATCAGTTTTTACCAACTCCATAAGTGAAGAATGAAATTACAACAAACTTCACTTTGTTCAATAAATGAGTAGTGAATATAGTTCATTGCAGAATACTGTATGATCATTTTCATATAATTAAATAGTGATGAAAGGGAACGCAAGAACTTGAGTTTTTTGGAAGTTGATTATCCTATGTTGGATTAAAACCTTGCACTTATTGAGTTAGGTAGTGCCACAGATTAGGAGTTCAGTTCTCCACTGTACTTTCCAGGAGAAGAGACAGCCTGTGTAGCCTTTAACAAGTTGCACAATGCCAGAACATCATCAGAATAAGTGAATGGTAAACCATTTCTGAATATTCCCTGCCAAGAAAACCCTGGAAGTAGTTGCCAGGAATTAAAATTGGCTTGATGGCCCATAATTATCCATCATTAAAAAAAGTGAACTTATTGCATTATGAACCCTTTTATGATTTTTTAAAAAAGACTAGAAGTTGAAGAGTTTATAAACGGACCATAAGTTTAAATAATAGTTAGTACTTTATTACGGTCTAAGACCAGTAAAACCAAAACAATATAAAATACATACAATTATAGTTAGTTTTTTCAGAATGTAAATTAATTTATCACGTGCAAGATAAATTAACCTAGTTCAAGCATTGTGTGTACCTGCGATGGGAGGGAACAGGGCTTAGACAACTGAAATTGACATCCTTATGCCTGTATGTTTATGTGCCAAAAAAGTCACATCTGACTTAACAGGGACCCTAATAGGGTTTTCAAGGTATGTGTGATAATTAAAGAGTGGTTTCATCAGCCCCTGCCTGCCCCATGAAGTCCCATGGCTGAACCAGGGATTTGAATCCAGACTTACTGAGTCGTAGTCCATCACTCTTATCTACTACATTGCAGTGGTTCTGGCACTGCTCTACTCCCTCTATTTCTCTGTTAAGCAGAAAATGTTTAACTAAATGCCTGTTAAACGTTTCTCACAATTTTTTTCCCTGATACTGTGGGGTTCCCTTCCCAATAGCAGGAGGGTGCTAAATACATTCAACGAAATGTATGACGAACTGCTCTTTGGATTTCCTTGGTTGAATTCAAAAGTGGAGCAAGCAGGTGGGGTTAGTGTGCATGGCCCTGCTCTGCTATACATGGATAGACGTCATAATGGCTAAACAGTCCCATTTTTTGCATAGGTAGTAGATATAAACAATATTGTTTCAGTGACATTTTAACTCAAGTAGAATGCATTCATTGCTTTATCTAACTTCATTATGGAATCAGAAGTAAGCCCAGACTGCAATTTATTAACTCATGAAATGCATTTTCCCCAGTTATTTATAGCACAAAGTTGTACAGGTTCTTCAAGTACATTGAAAACAGAGATGTGGCGAAATCAGTTCTAAAGGAAAGAGGACTTAAGAAGATTCGATTAGGTATAGAAGGTAAGAGGAATTGCATTCTGTATCAGACCCTGAATAAAATATTAGTGTATGCCTGATTCTGCTTTTATAAAAATGTAGTAAAGGAGGAATAGTACCAGAGGCGGGTGTTCAGGGAGGCAGGCCATAAACTGATACTCAGTTGATCCCAGATTCAGTTGACTTTTTCATATTCCGTACAGATAAGCCTTCTTTTTGCACTAGTACCAGTTGAAAGCTTACCTTAACATGGAAGTGCAGCTTGAAATTTCTGTGTGACATGTATTAAATATGAAACATTGAGCTTCTTGTGGAGCACTCATTTTGTCAGTCTTTTTCAGTGAAGGATGGGGAGAAGGGGCTTGTCTGTGCTGCCTCAAACTGGTCTTCCTGCTAGCTCTTCACATAAATTGTGAAAATCTCTTAGGTGCCCTGGTGTGTAATATTTTGAATTGAAATGTATGAGAATTGTGTTTGTCTTTGATGTTTTAGGTTACCCCACATACAAGGAAAAGGTCAAGAAGCGGCCTGGAGGAAGGCCAGAAGTAATCTATAATTATGTCCAGAGACCTTTCATAAGGATGTCATGGGAGAAGGAGGAAGGGAAGAGTCGGCATGTTGATTTCCAGTGCGTGAAAAGTAAATCTATTACCAATCTGGCAGCTGCTGCAGCAGACATTCCCCAGGACCAGCTGGTGGTGATGCATCCCACTCCTCAGGTGGATGAATTGGATATTCTGCCCATTCATCCTCAGCCCAGCAACAGTGATATGGATCCTGAAGGACAAAATGTACCTCTCTGATCCAAACTCTTGGTTAAACAAAAGCATGCTATTATAAAAATGAAGATGCTGTAATGAGCTCATACTGCACTGCAATTCCAGCTTCTCTCCATTGTGTAATGAACATAAAATGTTTTAGGATTTTGCAGTACGGACTTATAAAAGACCAAAGTGGGATCTGATTATGGTTTGTAGGAGTACATGTGTAACATCATGAGGTTCAGTTACATACCGGCATTTGTTTACCAGTAAGTAGGTTTTTGTGGTATTGGTTATATGGTGGACTGTCCTCATCCTAAGGCTCTGTCAGAAATAGCAGGAGTTGGAGACTGAGGTGAATTCAGTATTTTGGTACACAATGAGCAAAATGCAGACTTCAATTTGGTTATGGCACTTTATAAATGGTGGGTAAAAATTCTCAAAGCCATTTTTATAGTCCTGATGCACAATGTTGACTAACAGAGTGCTCCTTTCAGAGACTTTCTATTCAGCTAAATGTAAATAGTTTGTTCTGAACAGAGGTGATGAGCCTACTTGACTTTGTTCTCTTGTGGATGAGCACAATATTCTTGCCACTGGGGCTTTTGGGCTATGATCCAAAAGCCAACTTTTTTCAGATTTATTCTGTGAAGGGATTTTTTTCATGTTTGATGTGAGCCATGTTCATGGGACAGGAAAACTGATATGGGCTTTATATTAAAAAATTGCCTTACCTTAAATCTGTTCACATAAATATTTATTTACTGAGAGTTTTTTCATATGCCATGGAATAGGAAAATGCAATGTTCATTCTTCACTTATTAACTGATTGTAAACTCAAGTTTTTCATTCAAATAAAAATTTCCATTATTTTAATATTAGGCGTAAACATACCTTATTATCCAGTCTTCTGAAATGCTCCCTAGACTATTAACAAGCGTGCAGGCTCCATTTTTTTCTTGTTCTTCATTAAATAAATGTATCTGACATAAGATCTGTTAAAAAAAATCTCAAAATATTTCATGTATTGGGACAGAGCAGTATTTTTGCCCTGGAGAATGGCTCTTGTCAGAATAAAAATATACTGGGCTGATTGAACCAGATCACTTGTTCTGGTCTAGACCAGTGGTTCTTAACCTTTGTTACTCGGATACTTTCCAGCTGCAACTCCCAGAAACCCCAGTCAGTACAGCTGGTGGTGAAGGCTTCTGGGAGTTGCAGTCCAAAACTCCTGAGTAACCTATGGTTAAGAACCAGTGGTCTAGACAGCTTCCTGTAGTGTTGCGGAGTTCTGTTATTTTTTTAAAAAAATTCACTTCTGTAGTTGCCCATCTTTATCTTTGACAAGATGCTTAAGTATTTAAGAGGCAGCTGTTGTGTATGTTGCAGGAAGATATCCAAAAATGTCATCATTAGGTGGATAATTTGCGTTATAAATAGTGACACATCTAAAGTCCCTTAACATTGCTCCATTTATTTAAAGTAGCCCAAAAAGGGAAAAATACGAAAGTCCTCAGCTTTCTGAATCTGCTTCCTATTAATATTAATATTGCAAGGCCATCCTGTTTAACTAGGAAGGTTCAGCCATCTTGAAACAGGAGCAACAAACTTTAGGTACCTGAAATGTTTCATCACTGTTAAGTTTAAATGTTCTACTTTGATGGCATAGAACATACAGCATAGTCATCACCCATATATGATTCAGATGATATATTCCTTTGTCTCCACTCCAGCCTATTAATCCATTAAGTGGGATAAATGTGAAGTTTCAAACCCTGCTCCAAAATTTTGTTGTTGGCTACAACTATCAGACTAGCCTCTGGGATAAGAGCCTTGACAATACCTTATACATATCACTGTAAGAAATGGGAACAGGACATTGCTAAAAGTCCTTTAAAAGTTGCTAAAAGTCCTGCAAAATGATCTCTTGTCATCTCTCCAGAGTTGCTGAAGCTACTTGAAATATTTAGGTGGTAACTGAGAATCAGTTTTCAAGCATCCTGTATCTCCTTAACGGTAAAATCAGATGCTGCTCACTGCTTTAATTTCCTTTTGGTGGTGTTCATCCCATAGCATTTATCTTGGTGCTGTAATACCATGGTCTGATCTAGACCATGAAGCTACTTTCACTCCAATGCTTTTAAGGCTTCAGGAATTCAAAATAAGTAACATGATCATCTTTTTCTCATCATGAGAGCAATAAAAGTAGACACACTGAAGATGATGTGGACCTGGTAAGAGCAGCAATAAGATGACTTCTCAAATACGATCTGACTGAAAATGTAAGCAGAAAGGGGAGACATTTGTGGACTTCCAGAAAAACAAGACAAAAAGCATGCAGTGTTTGATACTTTCCTACTGTCTCTTGTAGGAGCATTATGTGCCTCATAAGACTACTTTCTAATATGGCTGACAGTTATAAATTAATCTGATGGGTTTTAACTTGTTGGTTCTTGTCACTTGTGTATCTCCTGTGTTTCAAAATGTAGGCTGGAAGTTTAAGTGCCTTTCTAAGGGCTGTTAAGTTTTTACATCTTGGAAAATTGTCCTCGGCCCACATCAGTGGTTTGATCTAATAGAAATATCAGCTGTCGGGAGGGGCTAGTGGTTGCTGGGATTTCCCCCATGCATTTCATGATCCAAGTAAATAAATGTAGAACAAGGGAAAAACATATTTTATTTTAAAAATATTTAACTGTCTAATACATTACACTTCAACAATATTTATAATAAAGGATCTTAACAAGAAACATTTGATACATTAGTATAAGAAATATCCATTATCCACATAGGGGACCTTTTTTGTAGTGTAAAAACACACCATACAGATGAAATGACCATTTGCATATAAAAGCTACCAGTGATGCCAGTGCTTAATTTGCACACTGATCTTTAAAAAAAAAACATCAACACAAGAATAGAACCCAAAATATACAGTTAATGCAAGCTATACACAGCTAACAAAATCAATGATGTAGAAACACTGTAGCAGGTTCATCTCCACTTGGTCTGAAATTACACGTGGGAGAAAGATGACAGTCCTTTTGATATGGCTTATGAAATTAAAACATCAAAGCAATTCAACAAGCTTCACAGAATGGAGAATTCCACCAATAATGCACTTGGATATATCCAGATGTCAAAACTATGGGGTAATATTTACAATGGCCATGGTAAGTCACTAAAATCAACAGGCCCCCCAAGACCTGCATCTGCTTCTAAGAGGCTCATGATAACTGCCATTGCTGCCTCATCATTGCTGGGACTGCTGGATCCTTGGTCATTGTCTATCATGTCAATACCTATATGTGAATTTTCCCCTAGAAAAAGAACAGAAAAGGTCATAGTAGATAACATGTAGTGAATTCCTCTTGTTATATTTTGAATATAGTTAAGATGGCATCTAGGAGAAATCCAGAACTGCAAGCAAGGAACAGCAACATCGACTGGATCTGTATTGAAATTAGAAGAAATACTACTATATCTTGGCTATCATGTCATACACCCATAAATATCAAATTCAGTGTTTTTCCCCTCTTCATGAGAGCTCAGGATGACTAACAGTTCTTACTGAACAAACATGGGTGGACAATTGTCTAAGCACAATTTTAGCCTTTTTGAGATTCAGAGGCTCGCATCTTTGTTATAAACAATCCTTTAATGCAGGCTTGTCCAACCTGAGGGCTGCATGCGGCCCAGGTCAGCTCGTAATGCGGCCCAGTGCAATTTTTTATTTTTAAAGAAATTCCAAAGTTTCAAGTTACACTGCCGGCGCTTGCGGCTGGAATGTGGCCGGGGCATGTCACAACAGTAGAGGGGGAGAGAGGGAAGGAAGGAAGGAGCGGGAAGGGAGGGGAGGGGAGAGGGGGGCTGCATGACTGCATTACACTGTCTCTGTGAATAGGTGGGCCCCCTCCCCGCCCCATAAAGCCACCGGAGTCGAAGCTGCCAGCCTCTGCTGTCTGAGATCGCAGCTGCCAGTAAGCGTGCTTGGAGCGGGGCTGCGGAGGACAGCTAGGGCTGCCCCCCCATGCAGCCCAAACCAAATGTATGTGCGGCCCAAGCCAAATTTTCATCTAATGTGGCCCAGGGAAGGTGAAAGGTTGGACAACCCTGCTTTAATGCATAAATAGACTATTTAGGAAAACTGTAGAAGTGTCTCTTGGATATATCAAAAACAAATGTATTAAGTAATTCTTGGCAGACTGCTCTGCACTTTGACTTATTCTTGGAATTCTAGTTCTGGCTGTATCTTGGCAAAACCTAGACCTGTTACCCAGAGATTAGATGACAGAGAAGAGCAAAGGGATGGAGAAAGGAACTGCCCTCCTTTCCATGGTTTTGCTTACCAAGAATGGAAGAATTGTCAGAATATGGATAGCCTGGATTGTCTTGAATTTGGCTGGACAGTAAACTGGTGGGAGGAATGTCTGGTGTTCCACCATTCAAAATCTAAAATGGAAGGAGAAACAACAAATATGTGTCCAGCAATAATCTTTGTGTTGTGGATTTCATACCACTTGGTTCCTGATCCTGTTATAAAATAAGTATATTGTCTTGCATTCAAAAATTAGCTTTTATGAATATTTCTATGGGTACTAACACATCCATCTCCTTTTTTTTAGTCAGAAATCAGAAAATAAAGGCGTCACCCACCCATCCATGAAACTTGCTCAAAGCTTCATTCTGAACTAGTTTCATGAGGATGATCTGTGAATGGATTAGAGAAGTAGCCCCCTCAAACAAAATGTGTTCATATACAGATGTTTATGGGAAATGATTACAAAAGTTGTTACTCCCTCTTAGTATTTAATGCCAACAATGTAGTTGTCTACTATCTTCTGCAAGTTATTTAATACGGAAAACATGCTTCAAGAGCAACAGTGGACATTTATATTTGAAACTATTGTTTTGAGATTGTCTTGAATGCCTTGAAAGACTCAGAGGCTAGAGTCCTTTTGGTTAGTTATGCTGGCACAAATGCAATGGTATAAATCCCAGCAGTGATTTGCCACTTGTATCTCCTGTAAGTTGGCAGGCAATGAAGGATACAAGTGGCAACTTGTAACTATCAGCAATTTGCCATTGTCATACTACTGTAACTAACCAACAGGATTCTGACAAGAGTATCTGAAGAGTAATAAATATTTATTTGGTTCAGGAGTTCCAGGGATTGGAAATAAGTTGCCACAAATGGTAGGGAAATCATGTATTCAAAAGTATCAAAAATGTACTGGTGAAAGACCCAAGTCTTTTTTTTATCCTCTTGAGATCTCTAAGGTTACACCTTGATATTTTTATTCCCTCCCTTTTCCCCCCTAAGGAATCATGGTTATACTCATGTCACTTGATTTCTTTTCAGACTATGAGACAGAATCATTTGTCAATTCTTAAGTGAACTCTCCTGACTTAAATTAACAAGGTGACTCAACCTGATTTTTTTTCATGATTATTTCAAGCCTAGTAACAGCCCTGTCATAGCGTGAGTAAGTCATTACATGGGAGTTTGTTTCCACTGAAACTTACTAATCTTAGGAAATGAAGGTGAGTCACCACATAATATAGCTTTAAATACATGTGCTTATCTCACTAAATACAGATATCCATAAAAGATACTGTCATCATAATTGTTCTTAAAGATGTTCCAACCAACCAATCCATTCACGATGCCCTGACTAGACTAGATTAAGAGAGAAAAGTGTACTAGGTATCAAAAAGCAACATATGACTAATGTCTATTACTCTTGCTTCTAGTCAGCAGTGTGCTTTTCCGGCCATATTTTTTAATAGCACAATGGATGAATCTCTTCAAAAGCAATGCTGATTCTACAGCCACCATTATAACATGCCACAGTCCTGACAGTAATCAGATAATG